ACTACCTTTCCCTTGCGTCGGGCCTAATCTCTCCTTTGTCCACGCTTGGCTTGGGGGGCCACGTCCTTGATGCCATGAAATTGTATATAATATAAAAGGCTACAGACTTCGCAGGCTCGCTGCCGACCGGTTTACCTTGAGAGCTTTCAGCTTGCTTCCCCAATCGCGGTGAATCTACAACATGACAAAACCATACAAAACCTGTTGCCTGGTATGGTGACTCACACTGCTGAAAAATCAAGGCCTGCTTTTTTTGAAAACCCATTCCCCGCCTGTAATTGTACGGCTTCTTCGTAGTCGTGCCTGGCGATGTTGTCGTCGTGATGTCTGGGGCTGTCGATGTCGTGGGCGACGTAGTTGGCGAGGTCGTGGGTGACGTGGTCGGTGAGGTTGTTGGTGACGTGGTCGGTGAGGTCGTTGGCGACGTGGTCGGTGAGGTTGTTGGTGATGTGGTCGGTGAGGTTGTTGGTGACGTGGTGGGTGAGGTCGTGGGTGACGTGGTCGGTGAGGTCGTGGGTGACGTGGTCGGTGAGGTCGTTGGTGACGTGGTCGGTGAGGTCGTTGGTGATGTGGTCGGTGAGGTTGTTGGTGACGTGGTGGGTGAGGTCGTGGGTGACGTGGTCGGTGAGGTCGTTGGTGACGTGGTCGGTGAGGTCGTTGGTGACGTGGTTGGCGAGGTCGTGGGTGAGGTGGTCGGTGAGGTCGTGGGTGACGTGGTAGGTGACGTGGTCGGTGAGGTCGTGGGTGACGTGGCCGGTGAGGTCGTGGGTGACGTGGTCGGTAAGGTCGTGGGTGACGTGGTCGGTGAGGTTGTTGGTGACGTGGTTGGCGAGGTCGTGGGTGAGGTGGTCGGTGAGGTCGTGGGTGACGTGGTCGGTGAGGTCGTGGGTGACGTGGTCGGTAAGGTCGTGGGTGACGTGGTCGGTGAGGTCGTTGGTGGTGACGTGGTCGGAGAGGTCGTTGGTGGTGATGTGGTGGCTCTGTCACAGCACTCAAGCAACACGTTGTAGCTTGAAATA